CATAGATGGAAGCATAGGTCATGTATGGCTCCAGCTGGAATGTATTGTGATGGTTGCAATGAAGGTGGTGGTGATGCTCCTTACTATGACAGTTATGATATTAATGGTAGAAATAATTATCATGATACTAATACTAAAAATGGTAGTATACATTGAAAAAAAAAATTATTATGACATATACATGTGTATATATAAATATATATATACATATATATATATACATATATATAAGTGTATGTATATATGAGTGTGTGTGTGTGTATGAAAGTGCGTGTGTGAGAGTGAGTGAGTGAGTGAGTGAGTGTGAGTGTGTGTGTGTGTGTGTGTGTGTGTGTGTGTGTGTGTGTGTGTGTGTGTGTGTGTGTGTGTGTGTGTGTGTGTGTGTGTGTGTGTGTGTGTGTGTGTGTGTGTGTGTGTGTGTGTGTGTGTGTGTGTGTGTGTGTGTGTGTGTGTGTGTGTGTGTGTGTGTGTGTGTGTGTGTGTGTGTGTCTGAGAGTGTGTGTGTGTGTGTCTGAGTGTGTGTGTGTGAGTGTGTGAGTGTGTGAGAGAGAGAGTGTGTGTGTGTGTGTGTGTGTGTGTGTGTGTGTGTGTATGTGTGTATGTGTGTGTGTGTGTGTGTGTGTGTGTGTGTGTGTGTGTGTGTGTGTGTGTGTGTGTGTGTGTGTGTGTGTGTGTGTGTGTGTGTGTGTGTGTCTGAGAGTGTGTGTGTGTGTGTCTGAGAGTGTGTGTGTGAGTGTGTGAGTGTGTGAGAGAGAGAGTGTGTGTGTGTGTGTGTGTGTGTGTGTGTGTGTGTGTGTGTGTGTGTGTGTGTGTGTGTGTGTGTGTGTGTGTGTGTGTGTGTGTGTGTGTGAGAGACACAACACATTATCTCAAAAACAATTTCTGACCCTGGCTCACCTGTGACAGAGGACCATCCCCTGAGTCCAATGGTGCTTGCAGCTTGAATCTTATGCTCTCGAAATGAACTCGAAATCGCGTCCCAAATTCTTCTTTGTAGGGCCATATTAGTGTCTCATCTCTGAGTTCTACACTGCCATTTTCATTTTCCGTGCGCTGAATATAAGCAGAAGTGAAGATGAGAGTGCTTTCACTACCTTAAATTCAAACTCAAAGAAAACTATCCTTTCTTTGCAAAAAAAATTCTAGAGTAAAAAAATGAAAACTGAGATATCCAGGAACTTAACCCATTGCCGCCGGGGAAAATGAACAAAAAATGGTGAAAATGCTGTGCCTATTTTCTATACTTTTTTGTTAAATGTCTGCCCATAGATGGCTCTGTTAGCGCCTGATTTGAAACACATATTTTTCACTAGTGCCATGAATATCGATGGTGTTATTTTTATCATAATCATTGTGATTTTTATAATGTTTATTAACATTAGTAACAACAAAATAAGATATCGTAAAATATTTCGTAAAGCAAAGAAAAGGGTGAAAGGGTAACTGGCTCATTGGTAATTTAGTACAAGTGTAGCCATCTATGTGTGAAAACAATCTAACAAGTAATCTCACAGTGGCCATGGCATGGCATGCCCGGCGGGAATGGGTTAATATGCAACAAAAAACAAAAACAAAAATATCCTTCTCACACTTAAACATCAACTTCCTCTTCATTACAAAGACCTATAGGGCAATCCACATGAATTATCACAAGGACTACTTACAGGAAGGTTGTGATAACAGGTGAAAAGTTGGTGCCTATCTTCCCTACGAGCCTGGGCTATAGAGAAGTCGGTCTCATGCGCATATTTGATCAGCTGGGGATTCAGGCTGTGCTCTAGGCCCCGAAGAGTCCCATAGTTGGACAGGGGAGGAGTTGAACCTGGAAGATGGTTTATATTGGAAGAACAAATATTTACTCTCTGTTAAAAGGAGAAATTTGAATTGCAGAGAAGCAGAGGTGGTGTTTATTTGAAGCATTTTTTAACCCATTCGCGCCAGGCGTCACGTATACATGACGGGCCCACTGTGAGTTTACTTGTTTGATTGTTTACAAACATAGATGGCTCTACTTGCACTTGTACTGCCTGTCTCGTCTGTTTACCCTTTTCTTTGATTTACGAAATTATTTTGCGTTAACTTATTTTGCTGTTACTAATGTTTATAACATTATAGTAATTATAATGTTTATAATAAAAATAACCATCGATATTCATAGCACTAGTAAAAATACATTTTCCCGCCAAATGAAATCAGGTAAAGCAGAGCCATCTAGTGTAGAGAAATTTCATTAAAAAATATAAAAAATGAGCACAGCATTTCCCCCATTTTTTGTTCATTTTTGCCCGGCGCGAATGGGTTAAACAGAAATATCATTTTCATAAAACATTAGTATTAATTCTTAGTAAATGCAATGAAAAATCATTCATTACAAAGCAGGAGAGAGAAAAAAAAAAAATAGAAATTCAAATATACACTGATTATACAACATTCATTCAAGCATTGAAAAAATACACAGTACTATGGACACACACAATTTTTCCTTGCATACACACACACACATATAAGCGCGCACACACCTCTCTCAATCCTAGACTCGTCCTGAGGTTTATCTGCATGAATGACACGTGTAAGCTTGTCCATCCAGTCCTCCAGGTCAGCCTCACTCTCGGCCGAAAGCAAAATGGATTTCCCTCCCTCACACATCTGGAGCTCAAAGCAGCATTTTCCTCGTCTGGGATTCTGCATGGTAGGAATGATTGGTAGGTGCTTTAATTCATATAATAAAGACTTTTTTTCACTTGTTTTATGTTTAATTATGAAAAATTCATGCAGTGGCCATATAGTACTGGCTGTATATGAAATAATTCTTAGGTGTGTTTAGCTAATATATTAATGTTTATTTATCACCCTTATTGTACCGTATATATTTGTATTGTTTTACTTTTTCATATTCATATTTATACATATATTCACAGATGAGCCCGTTTCTAATATTTTCATATAATTTAACAAAACATTTTCCTAATATATATATATACACTTTATCTTCTTTATGTGTACCAAAACACAATATCACACTTATCCTTATGAAAATGAATTAGAACTTACCTTTGAAATCTGTGTACAAAAGTCCATAACAATTGTGCCTTTCAAATCTTGTTTCCTTTCATCTTTGTGAAACTCCAGAAGATATGTTCCATCAACTTCTTGCCTAAATGTAAGTGATAAAATGTAAAATCTATCAAGTATACCAAAGCATATCAATATATATCAACATATAGAAAAAAATCTGCACCTGCTAGCAAATAAATAAATAACAATAACTGCAATCATTTTCCCTTCATTTGCCCACTACTACTCTACAAAATCATTAACTACAAAAGTCAACACTAATGATTCTAATGATCAAATACATTAGATCTTCATACAAAAATAATGTAAGATGACCTAATATGCTGACAAAGAATATCATTTCTTTAGTTTTTGAGTTACTGGCATTATCTACAATTTTTATTCATTAATTGTAAATATAAGGCAATCAAAAACAGGAACTTGACAACTCTATTCCAATCTTTCAACATAAAACTTAAAAATGATGATGATTATAATAATTTCTTTGTTTCTTACCTCAGACATGTAAACCTCCTCTTAAACGTTTTTGAAGAGAAATTTCCAAATATCTTTTCATTCCCACTTTCTGGTCCTTTCAAAAGGTAGCCTTTCTTCAATACATTCTCACCATTGGTCAGAATTGCCTGGAGTGGTTGAAATTATACTTATACACAAGCATTCAAGCAATATCCAAAATATCTAAAATAATGGTATGACTGTTAATACACAGAAATCACACAATATATGCCATATCAATCTTTAACTAGGGTTTACTTTTAGCATATTCATATTTAATTCAATTCGGGTTAATTTTCTGTGTGCTAATATCCAATTCAATGAGATGGTTTTCACATGAGAACATTTAGTATTTGCTCGACTTACCAGATCACCTTGTTCAATATCTGTGTCCACTTCATAAACTTGCTCTTTCAGATCATCTACGCGTGGAAGCCTGCAATAGTAAAATATTATTAGGAAAAAATAGGTAACAGTTATAGTAGCAATAATATTAAAAGCAATAATAATAATAATAATCTTAAGATTCATGATAATGATAATGATAATTACAAAAAAAAAAATCATATCAATAAAAACAATCATACTAATGCTAATAATAATAATCATAATAATGAGAGTCATCATCATCATGATCATCATTACCATCACCATCACCATCACCATCCTCTCGCCAAAAGTACTTAGTCATGTAATGTACCTTGGTAAGTGCAGGTAAGACCCCGAGTATGGAAGGTATTTGTGCGTGATTGTGGTCAGGTCCTGAGAGTAGGTGGTGAGACACTGGCGGACGAGGGGATTGGTCACTTCATCCTTTAGGTAAACAGCAGCTAGTGACTGTAGAGTTCTTGTTACCCGTGGGACGACTGAGTACTGTGAAGAGGCAATAACATGAAACAGAGTATTTAGTTTTGTATTAGTTCTGCAGAATGTTCTTCTAGGCTGCGTAATCATTTTTAGTTTCCTCTCAGAATGTAATTTCTATTTTGCTCTTGTTCCTAAATGAAGGTTTTATCTAGCTGCTTATATTATAAATACATAATATATAACAACATTGGTAGCCTACTATTATTCTTAGATATCATTATATAATTCTCATTTACTTATCAGCAATTTCATATACCAGTTTTTCTATATTTGCATAAAACTACATATTTCTCAAAATCATCCATAAACCAAGAAAGCTTGCAAGACCTAATTGCAATATTCTGCAATGAACAAACTGACAACAATTTGCAATTGCTCCTTACTCATAAACATCAGAAGAGCAATTTAAATGATGCAATACAAAAAAAAAAAATCATATTCCATCTGAATTGTTGACAAAACAATACAACTGAAGAGCAAAAAGCCATCACTTAATAAGAATTAACATCTAATAATTACTCAAGTTATAATGTTTATCACCACTTAAAAATACAAACAATCAT